TGGTGTGATTTTTAAGCCACCAGATCCAGGACTCGAATCATGGTCAGTCATGTGGGAGTCCAGTGCCTTAGCCACCACACCAACTGCTGGCTCCTTCCTACTTAATTTTATTAGTTCTCTTTCCATGTATTTAGGTCTTAAATCCTCAAAGAGTATAAACTTCTTCCTAGCAGACACCCATTTTATACCTTTATACCTTTTTGATGTCTAACAAGATCGCCAAATATATGTTAGGTGCTCAAAAAAATGTGTTACCTGACTTATGAATTTGGAAAGTCATCACAGTAGAAATACTGGGTGAATATGTTTGTGGTAGTCTAGGAAGCAAATAATTCTATATATGTTGGATCATCAGAATAATCACGATCCATTTTTGCATAGAAAAACACATCATGACTTTTTTTTTTTTTTCTGGGTCCGAACATTTATTTTTTTAAAGTCTGCTTTATGATAATACAGTATTTTATTTATCCAGCCCATTAATAAGTAATATTTGAGTATATGTACAATATTAATTGAACTTAATCTCAAAGAAAATCAATTTATATTTTTTTACATCTCAATATCAGGTATTATTAATAAGACATAGTCAAAATAATTATGGTTGAAATTTTTACGCCAAAACTTACAAATAAATGTTTGGGGGTTAGTATGCCTACACACAATTCACTTTTTGGTGTGAAGTTCTCTTCCTGTAAGAAAGAACATCTTATTTACTTCACTAAGGGAATATCTCTTAATGCTGGAATGGCTTCTTCTTGGTATTTCTTCTGCTGTTGATTTTTAGCATAGTTATCTGTGATTGTGTGAATGGAGTTGAGTGGCGCGGTACTCATCATGTTAACTCCAAATAAGAGTACATAACCGATCACTATAGTAATAAGGAGGTAGACTGGTAATGCGACCGCCCAGTATTTTTGAGGCCAATAGGTTAAGCCTAAGGAGTTTAGCCAAGATTCAGGAATAAATGCCCACACTAGATAAAGTATGAAACCAAATTGAGAACTTAAGAAAAGAACAAAACCATAAATCACTCTTTCTGGCAATGGCGACGGTGAATTTTCCACCATTTTCCCTGTGGCTTTGGACAATCCACAACGCAGCCACCTCAGCTCTGAATTCTCTGCGCAAGCACCCACCAAGCAACCGCAGTTGAAAGAAAGAAAAAAAATTGAGGTAAAAGCCGCCACCGGACTGCGCCTCCCGCCCCGGTGCAGGCGCAGGCGACCCTAGCCGGGCGCGCACAGGCGAGCGCGGGGGCCAGCCAACAACACATCATGACTTTTCTGAGGACCCAATATATAGGAAGTTTTGCGTAATAACTTAAGCCCATAGTTTAGTACCATTGACCAAACATGGAAGCTATATGTAAATCATGATTTCTTTATAGTCTAGTATAAATGCATAAAGTATTAGTAATAAATTACCCTAAATGAATAGCACTTTGAACTTTTCAAAGTATTTTACATCAAGCCTTGATAAGTATATATTGAATTTCATTATCTTATTTGGTCTCATTTGGAAATATACTTGCCTCACTGAAATATTAAGAAAATTAAGGGGTAGCAGATGGCGTAATGATTACATCACTTCACTTCCATGTAGTCCTGGACCCAGTGGCTTAAAACCCACGCTGAGCACACATGTGCTTATGTGCCTAAAATCCTGAGAGGAGAATGGAGGAGAAGGGACTGTG